TTTATTATTTGCATATAAAATAATAATTAATTGTGAACCATATTTATAACACTACAAGAAAAAAGCCCTTTAATGACGGCAAACAATGACACTCGCTGATAGAGGACGCGCATTTGTAAGTGCCCTAAAAAATACTGTCAGTTTTGCAAAATTTGAAGGATAGAGGGCACGCATTTGTGCGCGCCCTAAAATTGGTGTTAGAAAAGAAAAATAAATAAATGCGGAGGGCGCCTTTCATAAATTGTGCGTCATGTAAGTGTGTCGCTTTATAATTTTTAAGTGAAACACGCGTTTTAGGCGGGAAATGAAATCGACTAAAATTACTGGCGCCTATTGTATCCCAAAAATTAATCCCCCGCCTCTTCTACTTAGCAAGAAAAAGCCCTAGGTCCTTCATCTTCATCTTCAGCGGTGGGAATACCTAGGTCGATTATTCAGGGTTCAACAACAGATTTGTAAACAACAATCGTATACGATTCTGGATCTCATGATTATGGCGCTTTGGAGCCGACGACGTGAACATCATTCATGAGAAAAGTTCATACAAAATTCAAGAATTTCAATGGTTTCGATTATTGAGTGGGGTACAGGGAGGTGTAATCATTTTGGAATCTTTACTAATTGAGTTGAAATTGAACCCGAAAAACTCAATCCACACTTCGAACATCTCTGATTCTCTTCTTTCGCTCCCCAATCTCCTTGGCGGCGCTCTTTCCATTTCCATTTCCAACCTCAAACCACCGTTAAATGGAACCCAACAATTCAATCAATCAAATCGGCAATCACATCGACGATGATGGTGATCAGAACTCATTTCCAAGCCACCGTTATCAGATCATCACCTATTCAAGAAAGAGAAAACACTCTCAATCTCAGGTAATCACACTAATCGATTCAACACAAGTAAACCCTCTTTCGGAATCATCAGTTCTAGGGCTTGTTCTCCTTGCTCATACGTTCTCATACGATATTCAAAACCTCACTAAGTCTCTCCTTCTCGAAATCCTCGCAAGATTGCCCCTGAAATCAATTTTTAGGTTCAAATGTGTTTGCAAACACTAGCTAGATTTAATTTCTCAGCCTTCATTTTCCTGTTTCTATTGCTCGCATATGCTCACAGCCAGCGCATCGTCATCATCCTTACCTCAAAATTCTCGATCCTTTGCTCTTTCAAAAAAAGTAAGCAGGTATTTTTGTATGTTCTTGTGGTCTCTTTACTTTCTGCTTGTATTGATAATATTGAACATATGTTTTGAGAATAGAATATTAAACCCTAGATTCTGGAAACTTGCAGAAAAGGAAGGAGATGAGCTATGCACTCCAAGTGTTCGAAGAAATGCTTAAAAGAAGAATCTTACCTAATTCATACCTTATAACATTACCTGATGTACACAAGACCAAGTGATATGGTACCTAATCACACCTTGCACTCGAATGCATACAGGGCAAGCCTGTATTTATTCTTTTTCTTAATTTGTTGGAGATGGTAACTAAGGATCGTTCTTGTGAACATTCCTTCTTTTCAGGCTGTAGATTATCACAACTAAGAAATAGTTAAACTAAATTTTGTTAGGTGAAACTAGGTATGTTCTTAAATTTCTTTTTTATAAACTTGGTTACATTGGTTGATCTGGTTTTTTTTCATGATCTTATCTAATTTGTGCTCTTGTAGTGCCCATGCACTTCCACCTTCATATCGGTCACTCATGACAACTGATGATTCAAGGATTCTTGATTTCTATGTTGATGGTATGTCCCATTCTAAGCTGTCTAATAGATAAATTTTGTTGCTTAATATCATTATGAACACTATTGATTATATACATATGTTGTTGTTTATACTCAGATTTTGATGTCGACACAGATGGAAAAAGATTTATTTGGCAGGTTAGGGGATATGATTATGTTCCAAACGCCTATGGATCCCTTCAACAGCCATGTTTAATATGCCTATAATTTTCTTATGTTTCAAAAATATCTCTTTTGTAGGGTATCTGCAAGTTTCCTTTTATTGATGAAGAGCGCCTTCTTGATTCAACAAAAATGATTAAGAAGGAACTGACTGTACGTAAGGCTGAATTATATACAGGACTTTCAAACATTTGACAAGGAATCTAATTAACATGGTCTTTTATCTTCAGGAGGAGGAAGCTAAAAAGAAATCCTGAGAATGTCGACAAGTAGTTCCTACACATTTTAGAAAATCTTGCCTTGCGGATTATCACTTCCTTTAACAATGAAGGCTCCATCGAGCAAAATACATGCTTAAGGTTGTGTTCTCCATTGTTATAATGCAGTGATTATTCTTTTTCCTAATGTAAATATTTTCTTCTCTTGTTTCAATTTCAGTGGAGAATTAATATCATATGTTTGTTGGGGTTACATTGAGCAAAACAGTAGGCGGTAGGCTAATCGCATCCACCCTAGTCCAAGTATCTTTTCCACACACACACACACACCCTAAACTTTAAAGATGACTAGAATTAATATTTCATGTAGATGACTTTTTTTTTGTTAAATTGCCTTTTCTCAGGAAAGATCCCATCTCTCCAACGGATCAATGGATGACCACAATCGTGGTTCGGGGCAGGTTGTGCTTTTTACTTTTTTTTTGGAAAGTTGATTACCCTTTCTATTTTTTCATTAATTTTCTGCTTTTGTTTTCTGTTGCTTGCAGATGATGGATGGAACCCAGATCAATATAGATGTAACTGCACTTGGGGCTATAATTGCTTTGGGTCTAATGTACTTAAAGGTAACTCTTTGGCAGGAAGGATGACTATATATATTTGTTTATGATTTTATGTCAGCTCTGTTCTCAAGATTTACAACTTTGAAAAAATATTCTAATGACAGACTAAATTGCAAGCGATTCTATCCAGGCTTTGTATCCATAAACACATTTCGAATTGCAATATGTGAGGCCCCACTTCATAATGCTCCATGTCATTTCCAGTAATTTAATAATGTGGAGCAGGTACTGCTATTTAAAATTCATATGCTACATTAATATTCATGCTGGCTATATGTAAAGAGTAAGAGATCTCTTTAAACACCTTGCATGTGTTTTAGGATTCATCCATCAGAAGATTGGATTCAGGGTTAGATACCCAAAGTAGTCTTGAATGGCATCAAAGGATTCATCCATCAGAAGATTGTGAGTACATCTCATCAAGAGACTAGTGATTACTTTTCTGATGAATCAAGACGTATACATTGCACAAAATGTGACCTAATGCATATATGGAAGTTGAAAAGCTGCTGACTATGGCATACACTGTTGGCCTCCTTGGAATTGTAAAGCTGCTAACTGTGGCATAGACTGCTGAACACTTAGACTTTGAAAAGCTGACTGGTGGCCACATGGAAGTTGAAAAGCTGACTGTGGCAACTACTGCTGCTGCTGGACACCTGGAAGTTGAGAAGCTGATTGTGGCATAGATTGGTGTCCACCTAGAAGTTGAAAAGCTAACTGTGGCATAGGTTGCTGCTGCTGGACACCTTGAGGTGGAAAAGCTAACTGTGGCATAGGCTGCTTCTGCTGAAAGACTAGATGCTTGACCATTTTGAGAAGGAAAAGCAGTTTGCGAGGGTCCAGGTGGAGGCAATATATCAGCTAAAAATGTCAACAGTTGAATCAAAATCAAAAGTATCCCCAAATCCCCCTGACCCTGACATTGGGTCAACTGAAAATGATGGTGGTTCAGCAACAGTTGTAGTGAAGGGTGATGTTGGTGGTTAAGCCGAAAATCCATCAGTAGAAGGAACAGCTTTGAAAGGACCATCACCAAACGGATCATCAAATGCCTGCAATCAATGCATAAAGAGTGTAAATTTACAACATAAACAAACTATCAATATGTGTGTGTAGAATCCAGCTTTTAAGACACTCACGCACCCGACTTGTCGATGAGGTATCGAAGGTGAGATAAGGATTAGTATTTGCTGGAGGATGAACTTTAGTGGTTATAGATGAAGTCGATGTTACAAGAGCCAAAGCATTTGAAGAAGAGAAAGACTCTGATAGAGAACCAAACAAATCCTCCATCTCTCCACCACCTGATCCTTGCAGGGCAAACGCAAGGGCAGGAGCAGGAACAGCACCACGGGGATCAAAAAAGTCAAACCCATCGTTTTCATTGTTGATTGTCACTGCAGGTGGTGGCAGCGTAGTGGTAACTAGAGATGGTGTGGCGGCGGCAGCTGGTGGTGGTGGAGCAGTTGCTGCCGGAATTTCTTGATGGTTAATGTTCACCAGTCCTTAAAATGCTTACAAGTTAGACTAGATTCCATTATTTATATATATATATATATATATATATATATATATATATATATATATATATTACAATTTACAAGTAAATAAATCTTTTGACTTATTAATTAATTAATTTACCTCTTGGTATCAACAGGGCTATGACCGTCACTCACAACATCTTCATAACTAGGAGGCCCACCAACATTTTGTCCAGATGACCTTGGTTCAAGCCCCCTGCCCTCACCACTAAAAAAGAAAATTTTATTTCAATGTATTGTGATATATATATATATATATATATAT